TCTCATCTTCCCTCTAAGGGCTTCATGGTCACCTGGCCACTTGTGAGGGGCCGTTTAGAGTTGATGGGAGAATTAAATTGGAAGGGGAAAGCATTTGCCTTCTAGCATTTCGATGCTGAAAGCAAAGTGCTGTGAGTCACTAGTGTGATGGATCAAAACAATCTGTTAGAGCCCATAGGAAGATTCTAACTGCAATCAGTGCATTTGCAACAATAGAATGAAGGTGTGTAGGAACACGAAGGTACACTTTTATAAACGCCTAATTGGTTTATGGGCAATAATGCTGGGATACTAAGTATTAACCTCGTCTTAAAAGGTTAGTTCTCCCTTACTTCTCTCTAAATGTCAGCACCATTAAGAGGCTGCAGTTGCAGAAGCTTTGGAACCTTCAGTCGCTGTGAAAGATGCTTTGGCGAAGTGTAGCCCTGTTCAGTTTTGGTGCAGCCTTAACCTGCTCACCTGCCTATCTGGTATGGAACTGCAAGCGCTTTCTGGTTTAAATGCCATTGTTGTGTGAGCATTGTTCTGAGATCTGAGGGCAGCAGTAGCACATGGGGTACTTGACATAACAGGGAGTCTCCCCGAGCTGTAAACAGTTTCATGGCTGCCTGCTGCAGCAGAATGTGTACAGGGCAGACTTGAGACTTAAAACAAATGGAGACCCCTGCTGTTGGTACTGCGAGTCCCATAGATCTTTAGTGGAGTAGGTGATACCACAGGGTACGGAGACAGCCTTTGGTTAACTGATATGTCCGTTTGTGAAATTTCCATGCATTTGGGGCTGCAGTCACTGGAGATTATTGGAGGCAGAACAGTTTTCAGTAGTTTCCCTTATGCCTAGTATTTTCTGAAGGGACAAGGATGTGTTATCACCACATTTTCCGGGGATATGGTGAGTGGGATATAGTGAAGAGAGGTGCCTAGGTCTAGAGGTTATAAAGTGGCTGGTGACATCCAATGGGCTTGCAAGAACTCCAGTAGGACACTGTGATAGCCCTACAGTAGTCACTACTACAGTAGTCACATCAAACCATGCATTTGATGGTTCTGATAAAGTAAGGAACCAGCTAGGACAGAGAAAATGTGTTGGCGTTCATATTATTTAGCCACAATGGAAGACAGAAGTTTGTTTTAAGTTTGATACATCTCATTTAGCTCATTGCCTTGAATCTACTTGAACCAAATACCAAATTTTTAAAGTGAAATATCTCCAAGATTACTCCCCATTTGTGCCAATCTTAGAGGTTTCAGTCCACATAAACAACTCCCACATGGCCTCTGCAGTGTTTCGAACAGTAGCTAGTTGTTTCTGGGTTGTATCCAAAGCCCGTGAAGACTGTTCCTGTACCATGTGGCTGTCCAGAATTTTTCCAATTTGTGGAGAGTGAAGGATTCATGTGGCTGAATTCAAAATGTGACTTAGATGACCTTGCATAAAAAATGGGGCCTTAGGAGATCACTTTGGAATAGACCACACCCTGGAAGCTCTGGATCCTGGACACTCTTCTGCCCAGGCTAGGTCCTTCTCTGTCAAGGCGACCAGAAGCCTCAGCTCTGGATACTGTATCGAGATGTTTTAAGACCCGTGTTCTTTTCCTTTTGTTTCTTGACAAATGAATTGATAAACCTTATTATAATACATTCTGAAAGAAGGCTGCCCAAGTTTTGGGAACTTA